ATTGGCAAAGAGATGGCAAACTAGGCAGAGACTCCTGCCTCTGTGCCTGGCTGTCCTCACTGGGGCCCCTTGGAGGAGGGTGAGTTGAGTTTCCCTCCCCACCCCAAGCAGAGCCCCGGCAGCTGAAGACCTCCGGTTCCAGCCACAGTCATGCTTAAAACCACTCTCCACATGTTTCGATGAGTCTCACACATGAAGGAACCGGCCGAGGAAGACAGGTGTGTGGGACCTGGGGCATAGATCTCCAAGCTTGCTCGGATTGTGACTCGGTGCCCCTCCAAGCAGATCCCCCACCATCCAGTATGTAGGCGTTACACCCACCAACTGCCCCTGGTGCCGTGTAATCCCATTGATGGCCCTGGCGCCGTGTAGTCCCATCAATGGGATTACAAAACCCAGAGACTATAAAACCCTGCTCCCGGAAACACGGCCGAAAATGCGGCCTCACAACATCTTATTATCTAGGTCTTATTCTGGAGAACCTGGCAGGCTACCTGGAGTGTCCTACCCTCATGGCAGAGTCTGGCAAACTCCCTGTGGTGTATTCAATATGCCAAAAACCAATTACAGTGATGGGTCTCATTCTCCTTGCCCTGAAAGAACCTCGAATGTGGCACTTATAAAATCTCAGGGCTGGGACGATGGAGATGTTACTGGGGCCTGCTCAAGGCAATCGATGACGAACAGGATGACAGTGATGACAAAATAAAATCAATATATTGGACTAAATCAGTTAAAAGATTTTTACTGGCAATGTAATTTGACATTTAAATTAAGTTACCCTATTGAATGAGAGAAAACATGTACCCACCGAATATCATATCTAACCTAATATCTAAGAAATTCATAACACTCACAAAGTTCAACATCAGAACCAATCACCCATCAGAAAATGGTGTGGAAAACAAACAGATTCTTTCCTAAAGCAACATTCCTATGGGCTGTAGGAATATTAAATGTTGTTTATCAACACTAAATATGTGAGATATGTTGATATAAAGTACACTGAAGACTGTATCTCCCCCGTGAGTATAGCTTATATGAAAAATACTGGAAACAACCAGTATTGGAAATTTGCCAAAGGGAACAATGTTTCTATTTCTGTGGGAACATACCTATGGGAAACACTATGATATTTCTCTAAAGAGTGAAAACAGAATTTCCAACTTACAAGGATTCTATATTTGGTAACTTCATCCAAGCATGAAAAAAGTCATTAGAGAAAATACATGAACATGTAAACATGTATTTTTTGAACAAACTGGCAGGCTACCGAATGTAGCCTACCCACACGGCAGAGTCTGGCAAACTCCCCGTGGCGTACCCAATATGCCAAATACCAGTAACAATGATGGGTCTCATTCTCCTAAAGAGCCTTGAATATAATCTCAGGGCTAGGATGAAGGAGACGTTACTGGGGCCTGCTCCAGGCAATCGACAAATAACATGTAAACTTATGTCAGTTGTAGAATTTAGAATAGTTGTCAGGGCTTGGAAAGAATCCGAATGCTTAATGAGTTTCATGGATAAGAAGTTGTGAAGTATACACATAACAGGATACTGTGCAGGTATAAGAAACGATAAAATACCAGTGTTTTCTGAACCATGAATGGAACTAGACAATATCAGACTAATTGAAGTTTGTCAGAGGCAGAAGGACAAATTCAGACAATCTTACTCATCAGTGGTACACAGAAAACAGAGCATCAGCATGGACATGATCCAATGATAAAGACCCCTGCATGCTAACCACATTCTGGGGTTCCCGAGAGGAGTCGGGTGGGGGAAGAAGAGGCTGAGCATGGGGCCACAGCAGAGTGTGAGGGTCTGCGGGGATTTGGTGCTGGGAGAGGCGCAGAGAGTTTGTCAGCCACAAGCATCAACTCTCAGACTGTTGTCAATCTAATTCCTCAATGACAATAAAGACAATTATGACATCTTATCTCATTCCTACTTTGGACAAATTTTCAGGCTATCGAATGTAGCCTGCCCACAGGGCAGAGTCTGGCAAACTCCCCGTGGCGTACCAAATATGCCAAATACCAGTAACAATGATGGGTCTCATTCTCCTAAAGAGCCGTGAATATAATCTCAGGGCTAGGATGAAAGAGACGTTACTGGGGCCTGCTTGAGGCAATTGATGAATAACAGGATGATGAAATAAAAAAAATGACAATAAAATAGGCAATTGTGAAAATCCTTCTTCTGTGAAGCAAATGATAGTTATAGGAAGGAAAATTAACCAAACCTTACCTAACTGGAAATAAATCTCTAGTGAAGCATATAGTATGAAGAGGAATAAACAAATTTGTACTAGAATAAAATGTACTAATAAAATGTGTATACTTGGTTTATGAAATTTCTCTTTTATATTTCACTAAAGGAGAAAATAAAGCGACTCCCTGACAGCCCCTCACCCCCTTGCTCCTGGAGCAAAGTCCTGAAGTCCCGGGAGTAGGACTGGTGTTTACATGCACCCCTGCAGCTCCCCTGTCTCCCTCAGCAGGTTTGTGTCTGGGCTCTCAGGGACTTGCCCTCACTGTGTCTTGCACAATAATATACGGCTGTGTCCTCAGTTACTGAGTTGCTCAGTTTCAGGTAAACTTGGTTCTTGGAGGTGTCCCTGGCGATGCTGACTCGGGACTGAAGAATTTGTTTGTTTGTTTATTTCCCCACCAGTGTACATAACACCAATCCGATGAAGCCCCTTTCCAGGTGCCTGGCGGACCCAGTGCCCATCATAGTCGGTTAGAGAGAATCCAGAGAGGGATCAGTTAAGGGTCAGCATTTATGAGGGCGTTATCTTACCTGGTCCTGACTCCCTCAGCTGTACCTTCAACAGGACACCTGGGGACAGAGACCCACAGTGAGTCACAGGAGCATCTGTCCAGGGGATATGCACATCTGGGAGCTGCCACCAGAAAGAGGAGGAACCAGCGCTGATGCACATTCCTGCCCACGAGGTCCATGATCTCAGACACCGTGTCAGGGGGAGAGGGAGCCCGAGTTGGTGTGAGTGTGAATGTGGTTTTAATCCTGGGTCCTAAGTGCAGATTTGCATGGGGGGGCCTCTGCAGAGAAAGGAGGGGACCCAAGGGAGGCTGTTTTGTGAGCTCCCTTGGGAGGATGTGCTGACTGTGGCTCAGAGCACTCAGGCCTGTCCCTGGGTCCCTGTGAGAGCCAGGACTCTTCCTCCAGCACAGGAGCTCTCGAGAAATAGGAATTGCTAAGGGGCAAACGGCAGCTGGGGAAGAGAGTCCCTGTGTCTCAGGTTCCTGATGACCAAACCCAGACCCCCTAGGGCCTCTACCCTGTAGACAGACCCCTTCCCAATTTTGTCCCTGGGTGTTGCCTCCTGTTCTCCCACTGTGAATGAAAATTCTTCAGCGTAACAGAGAGTGCCATTGTCCCAGTGAATTCTTACTTGTCCTGGTCCAATCCATGTCAATCAAATTTCACACTATTTATTCACTCACTTACCTTGGATGAAAATCCTTTTTGTTGAGCAGCTTTGTTTCTTTATATTCAATGTACTTACTAGGCTGGATTTGTTCTATCTCACTGATGATGAGTCTATTTAGGGACAAGGAAGATGCCTCACATAGTGACCTTCCTGATGTGGTTGGCCTGGCCAGGAGCACCTCAACTCGCTCAGTCCTATATGTAACTCAGCACCCAGAAGATGACTGTGAACCTCAGGACCCTGTTATTGCGGTCATCACTGAGGAATCCCAGTCCCAACAGATGCTTGAAAAGAGCTCCTGCAGAGTCCTCGGTCAAAAATATTGGGCCTGGAATCTGGTCTTAGTGCTGAGACTCACACATTTCACAAAGGCACAAGTGTACTGGCCCTGAACAGCACCAGGGATGACCCTCCACCCCACTACCACATGCAGTAAACATTGACACAGGCTGTGTCACATACGTGTACCCTCTAATTCCTTGAAGCACCCAAGGGTTGAGTTCAATCTAAGGGGAGAGAAAATATGCTCTAAAATTTGATGTTTAAAAAGTCAACATTAAGGATCAAAAGTAATCTTACAAACTCAACAGGGGCTACAAGCTTCTTCTAGGTTAGACACAGAAACGCACAGATACCAACTCAGGCAACTTGAGGATTGAGATGGAGGATGTAAAACCTCACGTACCAGTGGTTATGGGATTCATAACCACTCTCGTGTTTAAGCATGTGACTCACTGTGTCTGTCCTCAAGGGTCCTGTCCCAGAGCTCCTGCAGGGCCAGGACAGTGAATCCTCACAGACCTGACCCACCTGTGCTGTCTCTGTATCTCCACAGTCAGCAGTTTCCAGTGGAGCTGGGCCCCCAGACCTCAGCAAGGACGCTGGCGTGCCTGGGGAATGTTGGGGATATTTCCTAAAGCTGCTGCACCAAGACCAATAGACATTTTTTTTAAACTTATGGAATCTTGTTTTCACACACCAATTTTCATTGTAGATTAATAATTTGTGTTTTACTTTAATCTTATTCAATGAGATATATTTCTTTTCCCTAACATTCTTGACTCAACTTGTGGCTACTTCACTTCGTCAGGTGTAGAATAATTAAAATATTCTGGTTTATATTTAGCAATGTATTAGAAACAGTGAAAGAACCATTTTAGAAAGGAAAGAAAACCTAGAACATTCATTTCATATATTATCGTTGTTAGACAATCCTGGCATGATAAAAAGTTTTTCTTTTTCACAACAACTTGGTCAGGATCAATGGAATTGCAGCATCTTTGCACAAGTTCGTTTTCCTGCACCACTAGCCTGATCCCTGAGCACTACAAGGGAGCCAGTACACCGACAGGAAGTAAATGCAGGGTGCTCCCAGGTGTGGCCCCAAACCTAAAGGAAACACAGACTGTCTATATTTGAATAGTACAGTTCTTTATAATGATTATGTATCTATCAGTTTTATTCTAAATAAACCATTTGCAATCATGACTGATAGTGTAATTTCTAATAAGAAATATACCTTCATCTTTACTCTTTATTATTGATATTGAGGGTTGGCATGATCGCAAGCTGAAGCCGAAGCAATTTCCCCTACCATGGTGTTTGTAACTAATATTGCAGATGGAAGGGAGAAAGTCTGTGTCCCAAAGTCAATGTGATAACCATCAACCACGCGGCTATCAGATATGCCCCTTCCGCCTGGAGAATCTCCTAGACAAAACAGTAACGCTGCTGTGATGAGGTCTATTCCTTGGAGGCCCATTGGATCCTCAGCAACTTCCAAATCTGATGTATCAACGGCTTTATCTTCCTTTGGCTTCGACCACAACGAATTAGAAATAAATTTGAACGAAGGCGTATGACTGATAGGTAAGGCATCTAAATTTCGCAAGTCTCCTAAGCCTATTTTTCGCCAATACAATTCCCCTTCATCCTCTTCACTGGGCAGGAGGAGATGCTGAACTGTACCGTTGGGTAAAGTGTTGGATGGGATAACTTCCCGAAGCTGCGCTGCTATTGAGATTGAGCCGGAAGGATCTGAAGAGCCATCTGATGCTACGCATTCTCCATTTGTTAAGGTACTTTGTTTTGAATCCCCATGCAAGTCCTCATCCTGATCTAGGACATGCGTACATATATCTCCCGCAGGAAAGCCATTACAAAGAGCAGAAGTTCCATATGAGTTGGTATTCGAGTCACATAATAAATCACTGGAACCATTCTGTTCAGACAGAGCATTCAGGTGTGTGTCACGATTAATTCCACCCACTGCTCCAATTTCATCCTCATCAGGACCGTCTTGGTCTTTTGAATTTCTACTCTGTAAGCTTTCTCCAGCATCCTGCTCTTCATCCATTTCCCTTGGGGAAGCACAAAGATTTGTACTTAACAGGCCAATGTCTCTTGTGGCGGTATTCAGGATATCTAAAGCAGCAGCCAAACTTCTAGTTGTTTCTACAGTAGCTTGATAAAGTGCACCATAAGATTCTTCATCAACAGATACCAAACCATTGGCATGTGCGATTTCTGGAACACTTGATTTTACGGAGATTTGTTCTCTGGGACCTGATACTTTGTCAGTAGCTTTTGACATCATGGTGGCGACTTTGAGAGATTCTAAGAGCATTCGTTGGTCTTGAAGGGCCAAGGCCATATCTAATTGTGCTACTTCATCAACGTCCCGACTGAGATTCTCATAGGATTTCCGGTCTGCGTAGCTAAAGGGCCAACGGTTCCACTCCATAGTACAGCACACAACACTTGCAGGACACGTTTCTAGATGTTCAGCAACTTTATTTCGAGCCATTGTAAATGGACATCCAAAATCACTATTTAAGCAAGGCACGCGTTAAAATGGGCATAAAAGTCGATGCTCTTCAGCTTTACAAGAATGAAAAACAGCTCCACAAACCAATGAACAACCAATCAAGTCACAAGAAATGCCAGGCTCGGGTCTAGTCATACACCGTCTGCTGACACAATTCACACAGTGTGAATGCTGCAACTCCTCCTCCATAATGGCCAGAGATCGAATTGTGCACAGGAGACCCACCCTACCCAGATAAATACCCCACTGGCAGACTTCCACTCTCGACACTACATCCACTACCCAGCCGTCGCCACACTCCAGGATGCTTTCCGGACCCGCGCGGCCGCTTGCGGCCGCGCGACACATCATAAGACACTAAATACCCATTTTCTGGAATTGTCGTACCATATTTGATAGGGTTCAAATATGGTAACACCTACAAGGGTGATTAGAGGTCACCCCAAAAGCCTCTATACCTCTCGGAAAGACTGGCAAGCTACCGAGAGTATTCCGCCCGCACGGAAGAGTCTGGCAAGCTATCCGCTGTGTATTCGATATGCCAAAACCAGTAACTACAACTGGTCTCATTCACCTGACCCTGAAGGCTTCACCGACATGGCAGCACTGAGAAGGATGAGAAAGGAGAGGCCGACAAAATCTCAAGGCCGACCTAGGCTGCCACAACGAAGGAAGACAAAAATGATCGTCTGTACTTTCAATGCACGTACGCTGGCATCAGATGCATCCATCGAGGACCTGATGGTACAAGCGCGAATGATCAAGTACGACATCATTGGTCTGACCGAGACAAGAAGGCACGAATCTCACCATGCCGTTTTCGACACCGGAGAAGAATTGTTCCTCGGAACATGCGATAAAAGAGGTGTTGGAGGCGTCGGTGTCCTTGTCAACACAAACTTGGCCAAGAGCATTGATTCATTCGAATGCCTAACAACCCGAATCGGACGTTTACATTTGAATAGATGTGGCTCACTGCCTGCAGTTTCTATCTTCATTGTCTACGCACCAACATCTCATTATGATGAAAGAGAAATCGAGAAGTTCTACATGGAGCTAGAGAAGTTCTATAAAGAAGACCACACCTTCTACAAGATCATTGTGAGTGATTTTAATGCCAAGATAGGACCGAGAAGATCAGCTGAAGAACTTCACATCGGGACCCATGGCCTAGAATGGAACGAACAGGGTGAGAGACTGTCTGAGTTCATCATGTCGACCAAGACCATTCATGGTAACTCACAGTTCCAGAAGGCAGAATCTAAACGATGGACATGGGAGTCTCCTGGTGGACGATTCCACAACGAAATAGACCACATCATATTCAATCGACGGTTTTGCCTGACTGATGTCGCTGTTGTCCCAAAATTTCGAACGGGATCGGACCACCGTCTCCTTCGTCCAAAATTCTACTTCACAGAGCGGGGAGAAAGGGCTGCAAAGTTCAAAAAGAGAACTCCCAGAATGACCACCAACTGGGAACTCTTTGGTACTATTGCGGCAACATGGGAAGATGCCATTGTTGACAACATTGACGAGGAATACGATCGACTGGTTCAGCACCTCCATGAATGTGCGAGGAACGCCAAGAGAGAGATAGCCACAAAAAGTCGCCTATCTTCGAAAACTCTTGAGCTAATTCGCCAGCGTGGTTTGGCGCATGCCTCAGGCAACCGCAAGCTAACGTCCGAGCTTGCAAAGCAGTGCAGAGATGCGATCAAGGGAGACCTCAAAGAGAGAAGAGCAGAAGTACTGGTAGATGCGGCAGAAGCCGGGAAAAGTATTCGTAACGCCCGCCTGTCCTTCACCAACTATAAGACCAAGATGACTGCCCTCCGACGTCCTGATGGATCCATCACATCCTCCAGAACGGCAATGGAGAAGATTATCCATGACTTCTACTCAAATCTCTTCGATAGCCATGTTCACTTGCCGACATACCAAATTCCACAGGATGGGTATGTCGTTCCTAACGTTCTCCCTTCCGAAATCCAACACGCCATTTCGTTGGTAAAGAAGCAAACAGCACCCGGCCCAGACAAGGTCAGACCTGAACACCTGAAGAACCTGTCGTCAGTACTCATCAATACACTGGCTCGGCTCTTCACTCGCTACCTGTCTGAATGCAAGGTTCCGTCCCAATGGAAAACCAGCAGGACCGTACTACTGTTCAAGAAGGGAGACATCCATGACATTGGCAACTATCGCCTGATCTGCCTATTGTCTGTCATCTACAAGCTGTTCACTCGAGTCATCCTAAATAGGATTGGCAGAACACTAGATGAAGGACAACCATGCGAGCAAGCCGGGTTCCGCAAAGGATTCAGCACCATCGACCATATCCACACGGTAACCAAGCTCATTGAGGTTTCTCGGGAGTTCAAGATACCGCTCTGCTTAACGTTCATTGATTTAAAGAAGGCCTTTGATTCTGTTGAGACGGAAGCGGTCATTGAAGCCCTAGCCAATCAGGGCATTCAAGCCCAATACATCAGGATCCTCCGTGAGCTGTATTGCGGATTCACTACCAGAATCTCACCATTCTACAAAGAAGTGATCGTTGATGTCAAGAGAGGGGTGCGGCAGGGTGATACCATTTCACCGAAACTCTTCAGTGCCACCCTCGAGAACATCATGCGACGACTGGAATGGGAAGGAATGGGAGTGAAGATAGATGGTCGGCAACTACACCACCTCCGCTTTGCTGATGACATTGTTTTAATAACACCAAACATCAGCCAAGCGGCACAAATGCTGGCCGACTTTGACCGTGAGTGTGGAAAGGTAGGACTACAGCTGAATCTTACGAAGACAATGTTTATGAGAAACAGCCTCGTTCCTGACGCCCCATTCGCTCTCAATGGAACGACCATCTCCCAATGCAACAGCTATGTGTACCTAGGTCGAGAGGTCAACATGAGAAATGACCTGGCACCCGAGCTGCGCAGGAGGAAGAGAGCGGCTTGGAACGCCTTCAAGAACGTTGAAGAAATAGCTAAGAGGACGAAGAACCTCCGGCTCTGGGCACATCTCTTTGATTCCACTGTTCTTCCTGCATTAACATATGCCTCAGAGACCTGGGCCCTACGCAAACAAGATGAGAACGCCATTCAGGTCTCCCAAAGAAGAATAGAAAGAGCTATGCTTGGAGTATCACGTTTCACTCAAATGAGAGAAAGAATCCGGAGTTCTGACATCCATCGACGATCAAGGATCAGGGACGCTGTCTCATATGCCAAGGTGTCGAAAATCAGATGGGCTGGTCACGTAATGAGATTTAAAGACGACCGTTGGACTAGAGCTGTTACTGATTGGATTCCACGGGATGTCAAGAGACTGCGTGGCCGCCCACCTACCAGATGGTCAGACTTCTTTGTCAAGATCATGAACGATCGGTTTGAGGCCCTCCATGTTCCCGGAGCGAAGAGATGCCATTGGGCTACACTAGCACGCGACAGGGATAAATGGAGACGTTACTGGCGCCCGCTCGAGCAAATCGACGACTAACGGGAAGTTAAGTGATTAAGTGATTAAGTGATTGATATTGAGAGCACCGAATCCTAACCACTAGACTGAGTTTTTTCTTCTTTTCTTCTGTATTAATCAGATTTCATGCATTTAGTTTGTATCAAACACCCATCTCTCCACCAGTGTCCATTTTCCACCACCACAGGACCCAGTATCCCTCCCACCCCCCATCCCACCCTGCCTCTGTGGCAGGATATTCCCTTTTGTTCTCTCTCTCCTTTTGGGTGTTTTGGTCTGCAAAAGAGGCATTGAGTGGCAATCATGTTTGGTCTATAGTCTACTTTCAGCATGCTTCTCCCATCCTGGGAGGACCCTCCCAACACCCTTTATTTGGTGCTCCCTTCTCTATCTGAGCTGCCTTTTCCCCTAGTATGTGCGGTTGGCCTCCAAGCCATGGAGTAAAATTCCTGGTACTAATCTCGCCATTCTTGGGTGTTAATCTCCTATTTTGTTACTTTATGTTCCCCAGATGAATGCAATCTTTACCACTAATGTATGTAATCCACTCTAGTCCCTTCTCTGGAGACTGGCGAACCCAGTCCATATAATAGCTGCCAAAATTGAATCCAGAGGCTGCACAGGAGAGTGTCAGAGACCCCCGGGTTTCACCAAGTCTCCCCCAGACTCCACCAGCTGCACCTCACACTGAACCCCTGCAAACACAAAGACATCCTGGTCAGGAAACTCTCCTCACACTGAGGATCTGCCTCTCCCATCTCTCCCATGCTCCATGTCTCTGTCGCCCATGAGTTACCTTCTAACACAGTCACCAGGAGAAGCCAGCTGAGCCCACAAGCCATGTTGGTTCTGTGTGAGTCAGGATGGAGCCCTTAGGAACCCCTGAACTGACTCCTCTCTTGGAGCTGAGGCTGGGCTGGGCTGTTTTCTTCACTGTGGAGAGTCTTCTTTGCATATCCTTTTCTCTATAAACCGATCTCTTTGAACTGGTAGAGAAAAGGGAGGACTCCAGAGCAGTTGAATGGTTCTGGGGGTGCCTGTGACCAGATTTAGAAACTCTGCTACTCCAGTATGCAATTATTACATAACAACTGATTTAATTGATATACTTTAATGTTTATTTTAATATAAATCCTATGATGTGTAAAATATTACTTCTATTTATTGATATAATAGGACACATAAAAGTTTAAATGATTTTTACAATGTCAAAATACACGACTCCCTGGTGCGTGACATTTTACTGGGACTGGAGCAATATCACAGCGGATAAGGCATTTGCCTTGCATGCAACTCACCCGGGTTTGATTCCTCCGTCCCTCTCAGAAAGCCTAGTAAGCTATCGAAAGTATCCTGCCTGCAGGCAGAACCTGGCAAGCTACTCATGGCATATTCAATTGGCCAAAAACAATTACAAATCTCACAATGGAGGAGACACTGGTGCCAGCTCAAGCACAATCGATGAACAACAGGAGGACAGTGCTACTACTACTCAAAATACGTTTTAAAAGTTGGTCCCACTATCTAGACAAAAGGAATACACTGAGTCACTCACAGTCGTCAATGTTTTGGGAACCAAGTGTTAAGACAGAATCAGGAGTAAGGCAGAATGGGCGGATAACAGGGGCCTCATGTCTTGAATTCCACTGAAGCAAGCCCGTGTGTTGGCTGTTTTTTTACTTTATCTCAGAGGAAACACTTCT